ATATATATTATGAGGCTTTTAAAGCCAAGTGAATGAATGAAGTTAAGCTTAGGGTAATTAGCTTGTGAAGTAATTGATTAATGCATGATGAAGTATCCAATCAAATGAAGAATAAATTAACAATTCAGGCAGTATAGCCGGCACTAACTAATTTGCGTTGTCAATGTCCGACGCAAAACCGACACACATGCACTAAAATTTTAATCCCACATGATTGAGGCTCACTTTCAATGTTAGATTGTCTTAGGATCCAGCGACTCTGGTGGCGTTTCTTCTTCGTCGAGCATTTGGTGTGTCAGTGGTGCCTACGATGGCAAATTCGTGGCTCCGGCGAGCATTCTACCTCTCTGGCCTTAAGTAAATTTCTCTTCTATGTTTTGGATTTTGCCCTTCATTATGTGATTTGTATGTAAAAATTAAAGTTTAGGTGTTAGAGATACAATACATTATGAATTGAGTGGAATGCATGTAAAAATTGAAGTATAGGTGTTAGATATGCAATACATAAGGATTGTGTGGTTTGAATGAAAATATTGAAGTTTCGGTGTTAGACATGTAATACATATGATTGTGCGGTCTGTATGTAAAAATAAAGCTTAGGTGTAGATATGTAATACATATGAACTGTGTGGTATGCACGTGAAAATTGAAGTTCATGTGTTTGATACGTAATACAAAAGAATTATGTGGTTTGTATGTAAAAATTAAAGTTCAGATGTTACATATGTAATACATAAGAAATGAGTGGAATGTCCGTAAATGTTAAAGTATATGTGTTAGATGTGTAATATGTAAGAATTAAGTGGAATGTTTATGTGTTAGATATGTAATACGCAAGAATTGTGTGGTTTGTATGTAAAATTTAAGTTTTGATGTTAGATATGTAATACATACACAATATATGTACGAATGATATAATGTGCTAATATTTACATGTGCATAAAGGTTGATGATGAATGTTTAAAATTTGAGATTATGAGTAAACAATAAATTGTATTCAGAAAGAAAATGTTTCACTAATTAGTTCTTGAATGGTGTAGAGAAATTTGTGCAAATTGTATCATAACTGCTCATTTGCTTATCAGATGGTAAGTTTCGTTGGCCTTGTACAAAACACAATAGTTAAGTGTAACTAACACATGAAGAAGTCAAAATGGATATGTATCATAAGAGATTTCAATCCAATTAAAGGTACAAGATTGTACATGGTGAGGATGAACTAGATGTCCAGTGCGATGATGTTAGTGCTTCATCAAATTTTGCCCCTCTAATGGAACGTGGTTCTATCACATATGAAGAAATGATTTTTGATGTTAGCAAAGTTTATTTTGTTGGGATTGTTCCTGATAATGATCAAGCATTGAATAGTGAAGCACAAAACTTCTATAATTCACCGAATGATGCACAATAGCCTTTGTGAAAAAGATTGCACCACGCATTCAGAATTATGAATATCACTAAGAATGTTGAGCATTAAATCTGCTTACAACAAGCCCAAGGAATACTTTAATCAAGTAGCAGCATAACTAAAGGAGACAATCCCTATTAAGAATTTAGTTCCAAATTATCCTTACAAAACAAAAAGGTTGGTATCAAAGTTAGGGTCACTATCTAAAAAGATAGATTGTTATATTAATGGTTGCTAACTATATTATAAGACTAATCCAATAGAGACAAACTGAAGATTTTGTGGTGCTGAGAAAGAGAAATTCAAACCAATGAGGCAAAAAAAAAAAAAAATTATCTTATACAAGCATCTCTTCTACTTTCCACTTTTACTCTGACTTCGAAGATTATTCACTTATATGCATACAACTCCTCACATGACCTAACACAATATTCAATCTGTTGATATTAATTCTTTGAGTCATTCATCATATGAAATAGTCTGGAAACACTTTGATCATAGTTATCCTAACTTTGTAGTTGAACCACACAATGTTAAGCTTGCCTTGCATGCAGGTGAGTTCACACCATACATTTATGTCACAATTCTCTACTTATGTTGGTCAGTGACTATTACATTATATAACTTGCCTCTTGATATGTGTATGATCATGTCATTTTTATTTCTGATGTTAATCATACAAGGTTCACATAGCTCAAAAGAAAAAAAAAATTTTGTCTAGTTATAATCTTTAATAGATGAGCTTCAAATAATATGTGATTGTAGCTCTACTAGAAAAAGCTTACCTTTATTATATGGATTTGTTTAAGGCATTTACCTTCAAACATGCAAGGAAATAATTATTATTTTGATTACCACCAAAGGTTTCTAGCCCGCAATCACTTATTCAGAGGGAATAGAGAGTCTTCTTTAAAGATAAAGTTTAAAAACTAAGTCATCCCCATAAGATAATTGAGGCCGATTTATAACATATGATTAATGGAATGCCTAAGATCTTTGATAGAATAGAGCTAGCTTCAAATCATCTTCTTGATTTTGATGTTACATATAATTGAACAAAGCAGAGTATTTTCTGGAATTTCTTGTACTAAACTAATTTGATTTGACATAATCTTAATATTTTGCATATTAAGGAAATTTTTTTATATAATATCTTTAATGTTGTGATATATATTATTGTGATAGATATTAATGATAAAATAAAAGATTATGTCAAAACAAGATTGAACTCGAAGGATTTTTTGCAAGAGGAGGGGGTTATAACTTCAAGAAACAAATACAAGTAACCCAATAAAGTCTGAAGCTACATATGTCTCAACTGGATCAAAAAAGAATAATATGTGAATGGACGTATTCTCAGACGTTTTCTAGTGGATATGTGCCAAACTTGAGTCACTTCGTTGACTTGGAAATAGAAAAGATATTCAACATAAAAATTCATGACTACAACATGCTCTTACAGCGCTTACTACCAACTGTATTTAATGCTCTACTAAAGCAAATATCTAACACATTGATTAAAATTAATGCATTCTTCAAAACATATTTACAAAATAATAATTAAAGTACATGTGTTAAATAAAATACCCGATGTGATCTTCGCTTAAAAATAATTGATAAGCTAACTGAAGAGTAATAATTATTGTTTGGACCTCTCCTAATCCTAATTTTTTTTTAAATTGATAAAATCATAAGATTGATATTAGCTACCAAGTCATTAAAGCTTTTCTAAAAAATATATATCTTTTATAGTACAAGGAATGATAAAACTATCAAAGTCTTTCAACATTCGTGGTAGTTTTTTATATAATGACACTACAATCTTCACTTAGAGGTATAGTTTCAAATTCTCCTAACTTATTTTTTTTACATATCTTTTAGAAATTTAGCAATAGCTAGGCATCTGCTCAAGAGTTTCACTAAATGGCATATTAGTGGTAAGCTCTTGAACGCTTCTAAGAACCTAGAGAACTATTGATCCAATTTTGGTTTAATTAAAGTCTCATAAAAAATTAGTTGTATTCTCTCAAGATCTTTCTTAAGGGGCAATTCTTCATTTCTTAATTCTAGTATAGGTTTCTTAACTAGTTTCTCAAGCTCAGGATCTTCTAATTTTATTTCCTCCTAGTCTCCTTGTCTAACTTATTCTCACTCCTTAGTTTAAGTCCTTAAAATTCACCTCAGTGCTGCTTGATAACATCCCTTAGGTTCTATGCCTCAATGATTTAGCTAACTATCATAAATATATTTTAATATTTTTAATAGTTGCAACTTGATTCTATATTTAATTTCCCATTTATAACACTACTTTCTTCTCTTTAAATTGAGTATTAAAGGTGAATTCAAGTAAGTGGGTCTAAAATTTGAGAAATTACTACCCTAATTATTCTATTTGCATAGAGTGACTTGTTGGTTTCTTCCCCTTTCTGTTTTTTCTACATTCTATTTGTTGTTCCAACTAAGGTTAGGGTGATTGTTTTAATATAATTATATAAATGTGAATAAATATTGTTGGGTTCAACATTTATTACATCTATTAACTCCACAACTAAATTATTATGATCTCTTGTTATTCATAAGCACTATCAGCACTTTAAATGGATCAATATATTGAACCCTAAGTTATCCAACTTCTTAGAATGTGTGACTACCGTTGAAGTGAAAATGAATAACACGTCATTATCATGTAGACCAATTATCTTCATAAAATTAGTTTTAACTAGCCATTAAAAATTATTGGTATTCATTTTCTCAATCAATGCATAAGCATTATTAATTGGTTTTAACATTAAGCACCCTCAACTAAAACTGTTATAATTGTCCTTAGTGATCCCACTAACTCATTGTAAAAGGTTTATTTAACTATCCAATCTGATAAGGCATGGTGTGGGTATTTTCTAAATAATTCTTT